ATTGCTGGATGTTTTATGATGGTGTCAGGAAAATACTTAAGAAGGAAAAGAGTTAATCTAAAGAAAGCATAAAATGTTATTCATGAAGACAATCCAACAGAAGTGTCTGTCTCTTGCAAACTAATTAAATCCATTATCAGCATCTGTATGGAAGACACACAAGTTGGTGCATAATTGAAGACTTAAAAATTAAATATGAAATATGGTAACCAAAATTAAAAACTTTGAACTGTTTTTCATTGTTTTAATATTTCCATTTAGAAACAAATACTTGAAGTCAATAAGGAAAATTCATTATTACAGCCTTCTGGGCAAGATTCAGATGGAGTGTTTGAGAGAATCCTGCTATGTGGGGTCTCACATCTCATACACCAAAATACCGAGAGCTGCATAAAACTAATAAAAATGTAAAAATATTGTTGGAAAGTATATGGGCTGTTTTTGATATACTCTGAGGCAGGAAGCTTCATAGATTTTTTTTTTTTTTTAAAGCATCCAGGTCTTGTGTATGCTCTAGGCTTTTATTCTTTTGGAAAGATACAGAAATAATATGCATTTGGCTTGGGCAGGTGGGGAGGAGAATCTTTTATGTATGCATGGAAACGCCCTGGATATTTAATGATAAAATCCCTTAGAAAACAGTAAATTTCTGATTTGCATTTTAGTAACAAATGTTGTAAAGGACATAATATGGGGTCTTGGGGATTTTTTTTTTTTTAATTCCCAGGGCTTCTTTTCAGGCTAAAAGGAGTAGTCATGTGCTTAAAGTTAAGCACATGCTTAAGTCTTTGACTGAACTTAAGCCTTTATCAAGATTGCAGCGTACTTCCTCAGGTTATATCCAAGCTTGTGCGTATCGCATATACCTAGTATAAGGTAGAAAAAAAATAAATAAAAAAATAATAAGTACTTTCATTTTTTAAGCTGTTTTAACTGACTGCTGACTAACTTTGTGTAATTAAAACATAGAAGTTGAATGCAGAGATATCACCACAAGCAACCAACTTGTCAAACTTCTCTCTGATGTCTAAGAGCACTGGCATTAAATATCTCTTACAATGAGGGCCAGAGAGGCTGCCCATAGATGGCTTCTTGCTGATTGCATCCAAGTGCTTTGCTGTGGCTGCAGATGTAATGCAGTGAGTTTTGTGTCTGCCTTAATTGAGCTAAAAGCTTCAGAAACACCCTATCATGTAGTATTGGGCTTGTCAAAATGACAAGGAGAAGCTGGAAAAAGCAACAGGAGAGATTTTTGCAAGATGTATGTATATACATCAAATTGTTGCAAAACAAAACTTCTCTTGGTAAAACAGCCACTTGCAAATAGCTCTGGAGAGCTGCCTGAGACAGACAGCTGGGGTTGATGTAGATCAGGTGTGGGCTGTACGGGAAGTGTTTTGATTTTGGCTCGCCTGCTTTCTCTTCCTGTCTTATTTTGCCTGTGCTCTTACCTGGCACAGATAAAACATTAGAAGAAGTCAAAACACAGTCTCTGTTTTCCTGACTTTTTTCTCTGCTTTCCTAAGCTAGAATTTTAAATGTCAGCTTTTCAGAATGTGGCATTTTCAGAAGAAGCCTGGCTCTTACTGAATAGAAAATGTATTTCCAGTTCAAAGGATTTAAAAAAAAAAAAAAAACAAACCAGGAAAGGCCAAGACAAATGAAAAAGACTAGAGGAACAGCAGCTGAAGCTCTTCTCCAATTAGATTTTTGTATGTCTCTGTCAGCATCTTTTTTCCCTAGGGAATTTGGAAGAAAAACTGAAATCTAAATCTTGCATGTCTTAGAAATGGCTCCCTTCCCTGGCAGCACCTGTAGACACCATGGGTTTCATGACTATGGAGAAAATGAAGACAAAAGAAAAACACTCATTATTAGAGCACAGATTTTGACACTTGCAGAGACAGGGCTGTTCTGAAATGCTGTCACCATTTTCATGTTCCTATGCTACCTCAGATAGAGGAATATACCTTGACCTGACATCTACTTCAGCTGGATGACCTCAGATACACTCAGAGATGATAAAGCCATCAGGGTCACTATGGTGGTACAGTTTCAACCATGCAAACAGCTTTTTGTCCCAGCGCTATGGCTTTACTGAAAAATGTTCAAAGACATAAATTCTTTTTTATTAATGAAAGATGGTGAAAACTGGAGCTGGGTTAACTTGCAAGATCACCATGTTTCTTTCTGAAAGGATATTCAAGTTGGCCTTCTCACTAAAGTCTCAGCACCTCACAGTTCTTTTGCCTTCGTTGGTGCTCTCGAGAACAAGGAGTTGTCCGTAACTTCGAGACACCAAGAAGGAAATGGCATGGGATATCTGGAGGAATCCCCAGACATGTGCCTCTGTTAAGGGATGTCCCACCTTCAGTCTGGCATCCTCCAGAACAGAGCAACACAGTTATTTTTATCTCATCCATTTAGAAGCAACTGGGCTTCCAAGCAGGGTGCCAGGGCAGTGTAATGACTACAGCTTCAGCCTATAAAAAGAGAGCATCTGGGAAAATTTGTCTCTCTTGCCATCCCCAGGTATAGCTCTGCTCCTCCTGCTTTCCATTCAGGCAAGCCTCCACTGTTTCTCACTTCACAACAAGTTATAAAAACATGAGAGAACACGAAGAATGTAAAGCTTATGTTGCAATTCCCTCCCATACTCACACACACATTTCCCTTTCTGATGTGGAAACCTGCCTGACACCAACCATTTACATGAGTACCTTTCATTCCAGTTGGGCATCCAGAGGACTGTTTCTCAGGGAGAAAGAAAAAAAAAAACAAACAAAAAACCAACCCCCACCCCAGAAGGAAAAGGAAACCAAATCAAAGTAAATTAAATGTGCTTGCAGCCAGTTTTATGAACTGCCCTGAGCTATTAATTTACCGGCATTCTTCCAGACAGTGGCAGGTGCTTC